AACCCGTGGCGCTGCGACTGTCGCCTCGAGTGGCTGCGGGAGTGGATGGAGAGCTCTGGGCACGTCGCTCAAGTGCCGTGCGCCTCGCCGGGATCCGTGGCGGGCCTGGACCTCATGGAGGTGGGCTTTGGGCATCCTGCCGACGGCCTGTGTGTGGACCCTGAGGAGCTGAACCTGACAGCATCCAGTCCAGGCCCAGCCCCAGCCCCAGACCCAGCCGCTGCCACGGTGAGCAAGTTCAGCAGCCTCCTCTCCAGGCTGCTGGCGCCAAGGGCTCCCGTGGTGGAAGAGCTGGGCAATGGCACTGAGATGCTAGCCAACGCCTCGTTGTCCAGCAGCTTTCCTCACCGTGGGGTACGCCGCTTGGGCCGCAAGACCAAGAGCCTCCTCAGCTTTTGTCTCCTGCTCAGTGTGGCCCAGCACGGGAAGTCTGGCTTGTATATGGATTGACTGACCCGGACACACTGGAATGGCCCAAACTATGTGGCCAACCAGAGAATGTCCGATTCACCGGGCTTGAGGGGGCAGGATGCGGGCGGGGCGGGAGGATGCCCCTGGAGGGTGGAAGGAACAGTTTGTCTCCAGAGCTGGTCCTTGGAAGAGAAATGCCACATCGGGGAGGAAGGAGGGAATGGATTTTTGCCCATGCCATACGGGCATCCGTTAAAAAAAAAAAGAAGCAAAAATGAACATAGAAAGCTGGGAATGGTAAGCTACACAACCCAACACACACACATGCCTCTCCCATCTTCAGACAACAGGGCCAGCAATGCCTGAATTAGAGTCAACCTATATGGCTATGTACTAAGAACAGTGCCCTTTCTCCTGTCCAAGTAGCTCACAATCATCTTCCCTCCACCCTAGGGGCCTGGGGACATGGAGGTCCAGGAACATGGATGCACAGGACAGGAGAGAAGGGGGATAGGAGTGGGACTTAGAGCAAGGGGAGGGGGGTGGTGGTGCCTGGTGTCTGAGATGTATGTGTTAAGTGTTACAACAAAGGACCATTTATTTATTCCCGTTATTCCCAATGGTGGCCTTGGCCACAAAAGAAACCTGAGGGACAAAAGAAGTGGTCTGTGGACAAGTACACTCGGAAAGTTCGAAGACTAAACAAACACCAACAACACAAAGGTTAATCAAGTTACTACAAGCCTAATCAGAGATTTTCATATGCTCACAGTATTGTGCATCTCCACGAAGGCCACGGAATCTCTCTTTTTAGTGTTTTGTAGAAGCGTGTCCAGAAGACACAAAGATGCTATGCTAGTGGGACTAGATGATTCAGCGTGAAAATCATTTGGGGACTTACTAATGGCCAATAAAGAAGGAGTCAGCCAGTAACTGAGCAGGGGACTGAAGGATGGCCAGGGTGGGAGTTGGCCACAGAATGCTCCTAGGCCCGATGGCCAGACGCAGGGCAGACGAGTACCTGCAGCGAGTGCACACAGCATCAGGGAGGGCTGTGGCCGAGGGCAAGGCTGTCAGATCCTATTTCAGGGGCCCGAACAAGCCAGCTGCTCTCAGGGTTGTAGTTGGAAATGAGTAAGCTGGACTATGCCGTCAGCTTCAGGACCCGAAGCTCTTTTGGCTCAGTTACTGGCGCACGCTGTCTCCTGCTGAGCCTGCTCTCTAATTAGCAGCAGGACCACCTTGAGCTGCACATAGCAGGCCCACATTCATGATGAACCATGAGTGCCATATGTCTGCTAACTACATACTCAAGCTGTTCCCCACACCACGTGCAGTGATGACTGCACTCGTCAACATTTGAGAAAACTGTACTCTTCTTAATGTTCAGAGGTGCACTCTATGT